TAAAAAGATTATTTAATATGTTTCTATATAGAAAACAACTTAAATAATCTTTTATAAAAGAAATAAAAGTATCATTCAAAGCATTTCTATATAGAAACATCTTAAATAATCTTTTTATCTTTTTATTTTATGGATCATTTAAAGTGTTTTTTTCCAAAACTTCTTAAATGATACTTTTATTTTTTATATATGAAAATAATTAAAAATTATCTTTTAATTTATTTATAAAATGATTATTTAAAGTATTTTTACAAAGAAAATGCTTTAATGATCTTCAATTAAGACGTTTCTTCATGTTAAACGCCTTAATTACAATACAAAAAAAATTTGTACAAAAACCTACAATTGAGTTTCAATCATTTTCAGACATACTTTTTAAAAGAGTAACGACTATTTCATAATTATTTATTCAGGTCAAATTTAAAAATAAAGTAACTTTCTCCTAAAAATTTTAGAATACCATAAGGAGAGATGAATTTTTTATTTCGAAACTTTAAGTATGATTAAAAATTTGATATTTTTTTTTATATTCAGATTATCCTAAACCAAACGTAAAAATCAAATATCCATCATCAAAATTTTGAAAAAAAATTTATAGATTCTTTTGAACCAAATGCACTTTAAGTTTTATGTTAAGTCTCATTAATATATGTTAATTTGTTTTAATTTTATGTTGATACGTCTGTTTATTAATTTTTTTGTTAAGATATTATTTTGTAAAGATATTGTTTAATAAATATTAAAAACTAACATATAATTTTATTAAAAAATTAAAGTTCAATTGAAAAGACTTTGGAGACGTGTCAGTCAACAGTGAAAGATACCCTCTCATTTGGCCGATAGCCAACATTATCAGCCTAAAACCCGTTTGGTTCTTGTAGTGAATAAATAAAGTAGGTATGTGCTTTTGAAAAAAAAAAGTTTATTCCCCACCAGACTTTCCTCTGTGAAGCCTATCATGAATCACGTTGGAATAATTTAGTTCAATTGTTCTAATCTATTCATTCTCCAAATAAGAAATTAATAAAAAAAAATTCAAATCGTCGTGTAGAGGGAAATTTTTTTTATCAATTACAAAGTGAGGTATGTCTTTTTTAAAAAAAAAAAATTATTTAATGATCAATTAATTTTTTTATTTAATAAAGTAATTAAATATTTGTCAAAATTACTTGACATATCGAAATATAAATATTTATATATGCCCTTGCGAGTCATTAGTGTTATCTCAAATTAAATAATAAATAATTTATAAATAAAATTAAATTCTAACTTATCAAGTTACAAAGACTGAAACTTCATTTTTAAATGCAAAAATTTAATTAAAAAGTCAGAAATTTCTAATTTTTTAAATTGAGAACAAATTTCAAAAATCTCTAAATTGTGACCGAATTCCAAGAATCCATAAATTTGGGATCAAAATTTTAAACCTTTTTCTACCAAATTTCAAGATTCCAAGAAAATCCTAAATTTTGTGTCTAAATTTATATAATTTAAAAACATATTATCAAGACCTTTGAAGCGAATTTATGGAAAAAAAAAAAGAATCAGGAAATTTTTTTATTTAAGAAATTTTAGAGATTGCATTTCACATTTCCAATAAATTAAATTTTATTAACCCTAAAAATTATCAAGACTTTTGGAACGAATTTATGAAAAAGAAAAGAATCAGGAATTTTTTATTTAATAATTTTTAGAGATTGTATTCCGCATTTCCAATAAATTAAAATTTATTAACTCTAAAAGTTTCCTCTTATTTTCGTACACTAACTTTGTGTGAACAAATTTTTAGTACACAGTAGAACAATCTCTATTCATGTCATATGTTTTCTTCACAAATAGGAAAAAAATTTATGCATCATCATTTCATCAAAATTGTCTTCAAAAGAAGTAGTGGCTGTCATGACAACTAACAGAAATTCCTAGAAGAATAAGTTGCACTTATTGCTTTCTAAAAAGCAATGCTTTCGTTTGATACATAGATCTTGAACATGGATCAATCGACAATTGAGAATGACTTGAATGTGAATTTCTAAAACATTTCTACAACACAGGAGCATAATTAGTATAATTGAATTCACGAGCTCAAGACAATAGAAAGATGAACCTGTGATTAAGTACATTCATAAGTGAAGAAATCTAAATCTCAATTGCAAATAATGATTATCTGAAGCCTTTGCACTGGATTTACTTGAAATAATTATAGTTTTTAGACATGAAAATGCCTAAAAACTATCAAACACCAAAGATTCAACAGTTTGATGGCAAAGGAAATCCAAGTCATGTTGCACACTTTGTGGAAACATGCAAAATGCTGCTATTGATAGAGATTTTATGGTCAAGCAATTTGTTCGCGTTCTAAAAGCAATGCTTTCAAAAAGGCAATGCTTTCAATTGTTACACAGATTTTGAACCAGGATTAATCGACAATTGGGAATAACTTGAATGTGAATTTCTAAATCATTTCTATAATACTCGATGTATAGTCAGTATGATTGAACTCATAAGTTCAAAACAATGAAAACATGAACCTGTGATTGATTAGGTTAATAAGTGAAAAATTCTAAATTTTAACTGTAAAGAAAGATTGTCTAAAGTCTTTACACTTAAATTTACTTAAAAAATAATTATGATTATGAGTAATACATTTTTTTTTAACTTTCAAATAAGACATTAAGTTGTATCAATTAAAAATATGTTTAAGAAAATGCTAATATATATGTAAAGGAAAAAGTAAAATACGCATCCGAAGGCACATATTTTAGTTTAAAAGTTTAAATTTAAGTCAATGAGCCATCATTTAAATGATAAGGAAGATGTTTTGAAATCTTTAAGTTTTATATTTAAATATCATCAACACATATGAATCTAGTTCAATTTTATGTTATTATGGTTTTCATGAAGATACTATTTGATAGATATTAAAAAAATAATATAATTTAATTGAAAAAAATAAAATTCAATTGAAAAAAGTTTTAAGATGTTGCAGTCAAAAGTGAAAGATACCCTCTCTTTGTGGCCGACATTGATCGACTAAAGAATATAAAATAAATAAAGTAGGTACGTGCTTTCGAAAATATGGACTTGATAATGTGAAATAATTTTGTAAGTCCTTTTTCAAGAGTTTATGCTAATATATATCAACTTGACTTGTTACTTACCCGACCACACTTTCGTCTCGAGAGGATAACATGAAACACGATAGAATAATTAATTCAATGGTTCCAATCCATTCATTCACCAAATCAGAAATTAATAAAAAATATTAAATTCTCCTTTTAAGTTTTAACCATATACATACATATAAGATTTTTAAGTATTGGATTTTACTTTAAACTTAAAATTTTATATGCTTGGTGTTATCATAATGATTTTTAGACCATTAAATGAAAATTTTAAAAATTCTTAAAATAAATGAAATTACCACTAAATTTTTTTGTTAGATGTGTTTGATCACTTAAAAAATTTATTTTTTTAATAAAATAAAAAATAAGTATAAAGTTTATTAAAAAAATAATTTTAATCCATGAAAATAAGATTGAACTTAAGAGTCAATTACATGTGATGAAAAACTAGTATCCTAAAATGTTCATAAAAATTTAGTATCAATTAATCATATATTTTCTTAATATTTATAAGAATGATCTTAATTATAATATTTAAAAATTATTTCTTCAAAATTTATTCTTGTGAAAATCCTTCTCTTTTAAATAAGCTTTTTATTTAAGAATAAGATAAAATTTTTTATTATCAAAATATTTTCTAATTCTTTAATATCTAGTATTACTTCGAATAATATTTCTGAGACTTTTATTCTAATCCATTAAAATCTAACTTAATATTTTTTATAAAAAATAATTATTAAAAACTCTCAAATATTTAGATAAGGTCTCGTAAAATATTTTTACTTAGAAATATTAGTTTTTGTTTAAAAATAATTCTAAAATTTATCATTTGTTAATTTTTGAAAGTATTGAAATGCATACAAATATCATTTAGAATAAATATATGATATAAATGTAAATTAAATATAGGCAACGAATCAAATTCATTCAATACATATATAAATTTAATTCATTTTATTTAAAAGAAATGGGAATCCTTGGTTTCAAAATATTTCATAATTTTTCAATATTTAAGTAAAATTTTAAAAAGTTTTTTTCCACTAAAAATTCGCATGATATTCTTTAAAATTTGATGTAATATTTTTTCATAAAAAATAATTATTGAAAAGCTCTTTAATATTTAGATAGAGTCTAAATAATTATTTTCACGTAGGCATATTAATCATTGTTTATAAAAAAATAATTTTCAAAATTATCAATTATTAAATCACATTTTTTATTTTAGGTTATAATGTAACATCAAATAAATAAATGATGCAAATACAAACAATTAATCAAATTAATCTATCTTATATGCATTTAATCTTATTTTTTATTATTATCTTTTTTGAAAGAAAATCAAGAATAACTTAGTTTTATTTTTTTTTTCTTATTTTTTTGTAAAAAAAAATTTTCTTTAATTTTTCAATATCTAAATGAAATTTTAAAAAATTAATCCTCTAAAACATGGTTTGGATTCTATCAAATATTTAAGCAGAATTTTCAAATAATAATATTATTATTATTAAAATATTATGAAAAAGATGAATAATTAACAAATAACACGAGGAGTCAACATCACAAACCGATCGGTGGTGTAAGACACATAATATAATAACATATGAACTAAAGAACGAGGAAAATAAATACCATGAAACATATGCAGGATGCAATAAGCTACGTGGCTATCAAAACAATAAGCCGCCTATAAACGAAAAACCAGGATTTCATTTGTTTTAACGTAGATCCTGCCAATCTAAACCAAAAAATCCCTTCCTAAATTAACCCCTTTTCTTCTCTTCTTTTTTTTTGTTTTTTTGAACCCTTTTTTTTTTTTTTTTTTAGAAGAAATAGTCAACTGAAATTAAAGGAAGAAGGAAAGAAAGTAAAGGGGTTGGTTGAACAGCCACAACCGCGACTGCCTACTCAGAAAAGGCAGCACGTTTTTTTGTCTTTCTCAAACGAGTCCTTGAATTAAAGTGGTCTTTCTTTTTACATGTAAAACAGGATAGCTTATCAAGAACAGAAAAGAATAAACAGCAAACGAAAAAAATCCAGAAATATAGCTAAAACAGAGAGACTGCCCAGATCATCCAAGAGAACCGTGACTTCCTATGGGGAAAAGGCAGCATGGTTTTGGCTTTTCCAGCTACATTAACGCTGTGGTTCCATTTTAAATCTCAAGATAGCTAAAGAAAGTACAAGAGATGGCTTAAAACTTAGGAAGCTAACGAGGAGACTGATGGGAGAGACCATAAAATAGTGGCCAAAACTGCCACTGCTCAATGAGGATGAACAGAGCAGAATTGGTATCCCCTAAATAAAGTGCGGCCTCCCTCCAAATTTACGTCAAATACCAGCTAACAAGCCAGACATGTAAAGGAAAGGATATAGGGAATTTAATGAAGAAAAATGGAAGGGAAACCATGGACAAACAGCCTTAAAGTGAGACTTCCAACCCAAAAACGACAGCCCAGCTTCAGGTGTTACATGAGGGAAATAAAAAATCTGGACTTTCGATGCAGCCTTTCTCCCCACAAACAGCCAATATGCAGAGAAAAGAAACAGCAGACATGAACGGATCTTCCAGATTCCATAAACCAACCCACATAGAAGAGAAAGAAAACCTGTAACCATGCAAAGGTTGAAACTTTAAGATCCCACACAAAGACCATACGTATGGAAAGAAACCAGCAAACATGAAATAATAAAAGAAAAACAAACTTTGAGCCTTCATCACAGCAAAGACCGAAACTTATTTGAAAGCAGGGTTTTTTTTTTTTTTTTTCTTTTGAAACCCATTGCAAGTTCTTCCTTTTTATGCCTTGTAGTAGTTCTTGATATTTAAAGAACAAAAGGAGCTTCTTTAGTTACTCAGACCAGAAAATATAGACCAAAGGCAATAACTTTAAACCTATATGAGCCATAAAGAATAAACCTTCCCCCAAAACCATTTTTTTGGTTTTCATAGAGACACCCGCCAGTTCTTTTAGAAAGCTCACGTTTTAACCCTCTACTCCTACATGGAAAGCCCTATATGGAATGCAAGGAAGTTGCTTTATGCTCCTAATCCTATAAGGAAAGTATGGACATCATCACATGCATGAAATTTGGGAATACTAAAACAGGGTGTCTTAGCTGATCAACATTACAAGTAAAAGGATACATATTTGTAGCTTGCAGTGCCATGCAGGATGCACCTGAAATTCATTACTTACAAACTTAAGTTCAAATAACACATTCGTAGGGAGTGAAAAAACCTTTTGGGTTCAATGGAAACTTCAGTAGGGCAACTCCTTTTTCATTTTACAAACTAGATAAATTCAACCTGCTATGAGAAGGCATCTCCACCATCACTGCATAAAGCAATTGCACCATGATGAAGGGAAATAAAGTAGACAGATAAAGAATTATAAAAGTAGAACAGTTACTTAATTACCATCTGATTTCAATTGAGGGGAAATGAGCCTAATCTCACAATCACCAAAACATATTGCCTTATTCCAGATTGGGTAACTGAAGGTTAAGCTCACCCACTTCAGAATTTTGGACATTCTGTGATCATTAGAAAGTACAATATACGGAAGGATTAGAGGAAGAATTGTTTAATTAGTTATGTATGTTACGGCACCAAATCCAATTTTAAATCATTTTCATCAACTAACAAGAAGTCGTTAAAAGCTTTATGTTTGTTGCTTCAGAGGGCAGAAGTATAAACTTATTTGTATCTACTTCACCTTAGCAAATTACATTGGCTACTGAATACTCAGATAAAGCTTTGTAATGTATAACCGAATAAGATTCTTTAATGCTTTTAATCAAATTCCTCTATAGATCACCATCCGAGTTTGAATTAATGAATTAATTCTGCAAGAGCTGCAGTTAGAAATATCAGTATGGTCAGGAAGCCACCTCTTTGTAGCATGCTAGTAAGCTGGATAGGGAGAAGCAAAGGCGGCTGACAGATAACAAAAAAAATTAAGAAAACGATTGCCGTAAAGTATTTTTTAAAAATTTCATTAATAGTGTCGATAGAATTTTTAAAAAATTCAATATAAAAAGTTTTATTTTATTATTTATTATTAAATAAAAATAAAAATATTAACAATAATAAAATAAAGAAATGTAAAAAAGACAAAAAACCAAAAAATAAAAATAAAATCAAAACCATTTTATAAAAATTTATTATTGTTGTATTTTGCTGATTTTTCTTTCTTTTATTCTATACATTTTTATAAAAAAAGGTTTATAATTTAAATTAAATTGAAAATCATACTTTTGATTAAATAATTTATAATTTGGAAATATACAAAATTACAACATTATTTTTATTAAATAATTTATAATTTTGAAATTATGCAAAATTACAACACTCGCAATGTAGTACAAAAAGCAAAGAATGAAAATATAATCACAATATATTAAACATTAGATTATAAGTATTCTGGGTGTGAACTAAAATTAATGCATATATCTTTTTAATTTCTAAAACAATGAAAGGATTGAATATTTCAATCAGAAAAGAATAGATTGTAGCAGGGGGAAGCATTATGAATTAATTCATACCTTTTGGGTGTACAACAGCTGTATGGTGGTATTGAGGTCACCAGCCCAACGCTCTCTGTTATGATGATCTGATTCTTTTACTCTCTGCAATTGTGGGGTGCTTAAAACTCCATGACAAAATACCTTCAATCTAGGACACCCAGTCACAATTAATTCTTCCAAGGATGGAAACTTGAAGGTATGATTCCCTGGACAAAAGCTTGCAAGATTCTTTAAACAATTGAGTTCTAAATATTTCAACTTTCTGAAAGTGATCTCATATGTTGCTTCATCTCCTTCTGAGTTTGCAACTATTTCTTTCATTGTATTGCAACGTGCCATCCTCATTTCTTTTAGATGCACCAGATTCTGGGCTACTGAGGGTGGAACTAGGTTCATCATCATGTTGCACCCTTCCACTTGCAAAGTTGTGAGATTTTGAAAAGATGAAGAGGAGGATCCAAAATTTATCAAATCATCACACCACCAAACTTCAAGAGTTTCAAGATTAGGAAGAATAATGTGGCCTAGCTCTAAATCTTTCTTCCATATATGTGTAACATTTTTACAATAAGCCAGTTTTAACTTTCCAACTCCTGAGAGTACTCTCCCAGCATCTGGCTTCTCACCAACATCTCCTTCACGACATATTAGGTTTTTGAAGTCAAACCATTTAAACACAAGATTTTCCAATTTGTATAATCTTTGGAGGAAACTAATTGGAAAACTAGCAGATCGACCAGTGAAGCAATTCACCTCAAAAACTTTTATCTGGTGAAACAAGTCTTCTGGAAACTGGCCATCACTCATTATTGCAATTTCATCAAGTTTTTGTAACCGCAGTTCCTCTAATTTGGGAGTGACCTTAGGAGCCAATTAAATAAAAACAAGTCAGACTCAATGTCGATCTACAAGATTGAATTAGTTAAATATTTTATAATTTCTTAAAATACTTTTATAGGTCAAATATATATTCATTTGATCCTCAAACTATATAATTTATATAAAATTAATATCTAAAGAATAAAAATTTGCAATTACATTCACGAACTCATATTCTATAGGACAAATTAACTCAAAGACTAATTTCTTCAGAATCATACATCACCAACAATAGAGTGTCATTCGTCCAAAAATACCAACTTAAATAACTCATAAGTGCCACGTCAGTCTATCGACACATTAGAACACATAAAAATTGTGAAAAAAAATCTATTTTATTATTTTTATTTTTGAAATAAAAAATTAAATCAAAATTCAAAAAAATTAAAAATCAAGAAAAAAAGAAGCTCAAAAAATAAAAATAGAAAGTCACAAAGAAATAGAGGGAAAAAAAAAAGGAAGAGAGAGAAGGAGATGAAGGGGAAAGATGGCCACCTACCAATTTGCCTAATCTATGGCAAATTGACGACCAATTGTCACAGGATTGTCAAACCGGCGTCCGATTTCCTTTGGCCTACCAGATCGGTGACTGGTCGACTGATCCTTTGCCCTCTCCCTTCTTTTTCTCTCTTTTATTTTTATTCATACTTTTTAATTTCAAGACTCCCTTCTCTCGACCATTTTTTTCTTTTTAATTTTCAACTTTTTTTACTTTAGATTTTTTGGAATTTCTTTCTCTTTTTTTTTTTTTTTTAAGTTTTCCTTTTTATTGCCAAAATGGAGTCTGCAAATGACATAACGCTAACAAGTAAATTTACTTTGCATTTTCGGATATGTGACAGTTTATTATTGGCCATTTAAGCCACATTATGATTTTTGTTAACAGAATTAATTTGACTTACGGAAAGCAATTCATATATTTAATCGTGAGTTTTTATTTTATTTTTTTAATATAGTAAATTTTTATTTTTTAAGTATCAATTTGACAAAAATATATAGTTCAAGAATGAAATAAATATTTAATTATTTTTTTATATAGATAACCAATTATATTAAAATGCCCTACTAAATGTGTTGATAGACATGAGAAACGCAAAAAAAGAGTGTGATTGATATGAAGTTAAAAATACTAAAACTGTATGTAATAGACATATATATATTTAAATAAAGAGGGATTTACTTATGTAGATGGGTTCTTTGTTGAGGTGAGGAAGCATTGTAAATAAGTAGATTAGAATATGTCGGGAGACGGCAAAGAGGAAGATTGGAGCAAACCTTAAAATATTGAATGCAACGGCAAATGATGGTAGGTAGTGAAGCAAGATTGAGTACGAAAAAGAATAAAGCTAAGAAAAGGATTTAGGAAAAGAAAATTGTAGAGAAACTTTGAGAGAAAGTTGTGGTAAATCTGTCAATGTCAAAAAGTCCCCACACAAGAGTTATAGGAGCTCTTATGCTCCAAAATGGTACGTATATAGCATGAGTATTGAATAAGAAAAATGGTGAATAATGGTGAAATTGACTACTACAAAAAGTGTTAATGTATTTTTAATAAGAATTTAATTAATTTTTGGTGATAGGTATAGTGAACATAGAAATTCACTATTTATTTTAAAAGAAAAGAAAAAACACTTATAGTTCAGAGAAGGGTTAAGAAGAAACCTCTTAACTATTTTTATATCTGATCTACAAAGCTAAACTTTTTGAAACTTTCCAATAATAAAATTAACCCAATAACTCTACCATAATTTTGAGGTTATTTTTACTTCTTAATTCAGTAAAGTAACATTCAATGAAGCATCTTTTGTAAAATAATTTTTGGTAAAGCAACTTTCAGTGAAAAAATTTTAGGTAAAGGTGTTGGTATTGTTATTTGAAGAAGTTGTTTCGAGAACCACTGTTCTGTAAAGATGTTGTTTTATAAAGAGTTATTTCTTAAATAGTTGTTCGATGAACAACTGCTCTGTATAATAGTTATTCTATAAATAGTTGTTCTATAAAATAATTTTCACTAAAACATTTTTATCACATATTTTGATTTATCCTCAACTTTAACAGCTTGAGAGAAATTTAAAAAAAAAAATATCAGTAACCAAAATCAAGTATTTACAACTTAAATATAATTTTTAAATTTTTTTTATATTAGGATTGAAATTGTTAAGATTATAAATATTATTTTGATTCAAATTACTTATAGATTTAATTTCGATTTAATGATAAAAAATATAAAAATTACATTAGTGTAAGTTAATCTCTATTTTTTAAAAATATATATAAATGCCTAGAAAGATGCATCAAGTGTTTATTTGACTGTTGACTTACAGTAAAAATGTTTTAAAATTTTCAGTTATTTGTACTTCAAATTTTATATTTCAAAACCTTTTCCATTACAAATTTAATAATTGTATAAATTAAAATTGAAACAATTAGTAATTAAGTTAGAAATAAATTCTATTAAAAGTGAATATATATCATTTATAACAAAATTCTATTAACAGTGAATTTATATCATTTATAACATACTTTTTAATTTCAAATTTTCATCTACTTTCTGATTCTATTATTATTAAATCAGTAAAGAATTAAAAAATTATTAATGAATATACTTCAAAATCAAAATAATTTAACAATGCGTTATAGTGTCATGCATTTGAAAGTGTTTTAGATTTTTAAAGTAAATAGTGAAGGTTCATAATCATACCTCTTCAACCAAGAAAAGTTGCTGTCGAATTGTAGAATCTCTTTGGCCATTCGCATTCACTTCTTGAGTGCTAATTAGACGTTCTGAAGCTACAATCTTTAGTAAAGTGGAACAATCTGTCATCAATGTTTTCAAAATCGGCCAGACTATTGTATGTTGCCCTGGATAGAACCATTTGAACTCATTTAGGTTCGTAAGCACAAGGGAAGACATTTGAGGAAACTTAAACCTAATGGGCTGTTCCAATATTTCCCCTCCCGACACAAGCTCCTCAACTCCACAACTACTTATTCTTAGATATTCAAGTTGAGGAAGGTCCTTGGCTATTGACACTGGAAATAGATTTTTCAGACTCCAACAATAGAAAGCTTTTACTCTACGTAGATTTTGAAAGGCACTGGGAATTCCAAAGTAATCGTTATTCCAAACATGTTTCAATGCCGGTAGCCAGGAAATATCCAATTCTTTTAATTGAGAATATTCTACACCAAGTGTCTTTTCGATATTTAACCCTCCAAGCTCAAATATCTGTTCTAATGAATCACAGTAGCTCACTTTGAGCTTTTCTAGACACTGAAATATTCCTATGGCAGTAGAGGAAAAAATAGCCGATAACTGATGACAATACTGAACCTCCATTTCTTCTAATTTGCAAAAGGAACCTGCTAGAAGCTCGTTGTGAAATATCATCTGCACATTTCTCAAGTGGGAGATCTTCATCCTTTTCAAGCTAGGTACTGCAGCCTATATATATATATATATATATATATATAAAATTCAATATGTCGATCTAGAGTTAGTTCATAAACAATAAAGGCAAAAAGGCAAGGAGAAAATAAAACGAAGAGAGAGCAGAATTATAAGAGTGAAAGATTAATTCACCTTCTCATTGAAGAGAGCTTGTACACCGGACTGATAATTCACCTCCATTTTAGTTTCATTAATGAATTCTTTTAATTTCGGGCATTTCTCAATGTTTAGCACTTTCAAGGATGGGAACTCAATATCATAATTCCCTGAGCAAAATTTGATGAGATTATGAAGATTCCTTATTTTTAAGGAGTTCAATTGAGAGAAACGAATCACATTTTTCTTTCCTTCTTCTATTTCCTCTGTAACTATTATCTCCCTTAAGCACTTGCATTCCACTATCTCAAAGTGTTGGAGCTGCTCCAAACTTCTTGCAACACAGGGTAATAACAGATGTTCCAAGTTCCCACAACCCTGAATGATCAAGCTCTTCAAATTCGGAAAGGAAAAACGTGTATTTGAAAGCTGATTGTGCCATATCCTTTGGGTCTTAATTGAAGACAATCGCAGGCTTTTCAATTCAGGAAACTCTATCTACTCACACGTATGTATCCTATAAGTAATTGTTGGAATATGGATCAAGTAAAGTGGACTTAAATGTATTAGTACATCCAAAAGAGCATATATCTAACTTCTAATATGAGTTGAATCATAATTTTCTTTCTAATAGAATTGTAAATATGCATTATTAGAAGTCTATTCTTATTACGGCTATGATTTAGGTTATATAAATAAACACATATAGTGTGAATTCCATTCGTTAAAAGTTCTTTATGGAGCAATTTAATGGAGATTTTTGAAATGCTAGCATTTAAAATTACATGAATTCAAAATAAAAGAATTAGTAATTGTATTATTTAGATAATTATTTTTAGAATGAAATTTTAAATATTCAAATCTCATGAGATAAAAAACAATTATAATAGAAAAATAATAACATTAGATATAGAAAAAAAACAAAATACTAAAAATATACATGTAATATGGATATCATTAGATTTGTAAAAATATGTAGATATTACTAACAATATGAAAAATTAAAAAAATAAAATTTATATTGAGTTTTTTGTACTCAATATTGAAGAGAACAAAAGTGGTATAAAAAAAATGAAACATAGTAAATGTTGACTTTTTGCTATAAAACTAAAGAATTTCACAAATTTCACCTTAGGTAGAATTAGTGCCCTCCAAAATTCCTCATTCAAATTCCAAAAATTTTGACAATTTTAATATTTATTTTGCCAAAAGGGTAATTCCATTTTATAATTTTAAATTTTTTTTACAAATAAAATATCTTTTTAAAACCCTTGCCCAAACGCCCCATTAAAATCTCATTTATCTAATTGTCATAAGAATTAAAGTCATTAAATTTATGGAGAGCTATAGTAGCTACCCTGTATAAAAAAATCAAAGATAAAAAAAATTATTAAAAAATAGATTAAGAATTAAATCTTTGACGGTTCATGGCATAGGCATCCATAAATTGATCTTGAACATCCATATTGACAATGAGGTATGTATTTTAATCCTGTTGATTTTTGCTTAATATGAAAATAGAATGATCTAAACACTTAATAGAATTTATCATATTAAAAATTTTACTTTATTTTATTTCTTAATAAAAGGTTTGATGTTTATAATAAATTGATGAATTAATTTAAGTTTTAAGTTAATAGCATTTATGGTCTTTAAATTTTAAATCAAATTCTATTCTGTCCATAATTTTTAAAATATTTTAATCAAATCCTCAATTGTGTAAATTTTTCCTATATTTGTCATCCCGTTTATGAAACCATATAAATTAATAGAAAATGCTAACTAGTGCCATATGAATAGTACGTGAATTGTGTCAACTGACATCTCATGTAATAAATGAAAAGATCAAAATAGAATTTCACTCAAAATTTAGGAACTAGAGGTGTTATTATCTTGAATTTTTTATATTTCAAATAAATTTTATAAAATATTAAATTTAAAATTATATTTTTATATTTTTATTATAATATAATTTATTAGCTAAATATTTTTTATTTTTAATAAAAAATAGATTTTCAAAAATTAAAATGAAGTTAAAATTTTCAAAATCTTTTTTAAAAAATTCCATATCAATTTAAAAACAAAAATACCTATTTTCAATTGATAATATTATTTTACTGATAAATTATAATAGAAAATATTGTTTTCTATCAAAAAATCTAATTTCTATTTAAAAATTAAATATATTTTCCTTTTTCATTTTTCAAATATATTTTATGAAGAAGAAAAATTAAAAAAATAAAAAATAAATTAAAGAAAAAAATGTTTTCCAATATATTTTATAAAATATGATAATTTAAAATAAAATTTTTTTATTATAATCTGATTTATCAGCAAAATAATATTTTCATAGAAAATAGATTTAAAAAGGTTAAAATTAAATTCAAATTTTCAAAAATCCTTTTTAAAACTACTCCATATCATTTTAAAAAATTTAAAAAATTGTCTCAATTTTAAAAAATTTTTAAAAAAACTCCATTTCATTTTAAAATATTAAGTAAAAAAAATAAATTTATTAATCTATTCAAAAATCTCTTTTTAATCCAAAAAAATATTTTGAATTTTTTTCTATTAAAAATTTATATTTAAATAAAATAAAATTATTATTTTTAATAACTCAATTTGTTACCTACCGAATTGGCAACAGTAAGAGCGATTTTGATTTTTATATCTTTTTATAAAGTATAAAATTTAATAAAAAACAGATTCAAAATAATTTTTTTTTCAAAAGAAACAAATTTATTAATAGATTAATAAATCAATTTTCAAAATGATATGAAAATTTTTACTTAATATTTTAAAAAGATATGGAGTTTTTATTTAATTTTTTAAATCTATAAAGAAATTTTACTTAATTTTTAAAAATGATATGAAATTTTTCAAAAGAATTTTGAAAACTTTAACTTAATATTAATTTTTTAAAATATATTTCTATTAAAAATAAAAATATTTAAATGATAAATTATATTACAATAAGAATATAAAAGTATTATTTTAAATTTTATATAGAATATATCTTAAATATAAAAAATTTCAAGATTGTATTATCCTTGATCTATAAATTTTGAGTGAAATTTTATTATGATTTATTCATAGCACATAAAATGCTAACCAACACTATATATGACAATTTTAGATAATTGAGAATCTTATTAAAATTTTTAAAGATTAAAAATCAAAATAGAATTTAACTTAAAATTTAAGGATGATGAATGCTGAACTTCTATTATACCCAATTGAACTCCTATAATAACATTTTTATTTCCTTAAACCTTCATTCTAAATGAAAATCAAAGAATTTTGTTATTTCTACAATATCAACATATAATTGATTTTTATCCTTATCAAAAAATATACAAGGAAAAATATGTAAAATTCTTGTTTAGTTGTGTTTAAATGACATGTAGTACAGGTTACATTAGTATCTACAGTCTTTTATATCTCGTATATGTCGTGGAGATACTAACGTAGCTAACATAAAGATCACATGGAGGTTAAATGTATCATGAAATAATGGATTTTAGTTGTTTTTATGCAAAGTAAAGGTTTAACTGAGCGAAACTAATACTTTTAAGAATTCACTTGGATACAACAAAATAATAAAAAAATTAACTGAAAATTTCAAAAATGTTCAAGAGTTTTGAAGTATTTTAACCAACACCTATATCTATAGGTTAAATATATGATTAAGCTATTGAATGCTCCATAAATAAATAAATAAATACCTGTTTATTGAAAAGTGGCTTGGTGGTTGTATCCTCCTGCTCCTGCTGGGATGTGGAATACCTCCTCCCTTCGGGGGTAAAGCTAACGAGTTGTGGCAGATCTTGGAGTGTCATGGACTGTAATTGACCAAACTCCATTTTTTCCGCTGCGATATATTGGACTTCCAAACCATCTTGGATGTGAAGTTTCTTCAAATATGGAAAATCTTCTCCGTTGTTTAACTCATCAAGTACATTTTTTATTCCCTTAAGTTGAGCAAGATATAAATCTTCAGTCTTCTTCAACAATATCTTCACCCCATGGTCCTTGTAGATGCTTGTATACAATTTTAATTTCAGTGTTCTTGAGTATTCATAGGCATCCGGCCTACTCCGCCCAAAATAATAACCTATGAAAATCCTGTATCTGTCCAATGTCTCAGTGAACAGACGTTCTGGAACAATTCGGGCATTAGGAATATGAACGTACAAAGTGGTTAGATGAGTCAAATGCTTCAATTCCTCAAGGAGGCTAGCATTTCTTCTTTCACTGCCAGGTACTTCTTCTTCCCACTGAACAAAGCAGTCTTCCATATATAGTTCTTCTAAGTTGGACAAATTCGATAAGACATTTGGTGGGATGATTTTGAGCGTAGTACAATGACTCAAATCTAACAACCTTAACCGAGTCAATTGTGCTATCTCCCTGGGTAGCGCTTTAATATCTGACTGAAGAAAGCTAAGGATTTCTAGACTCTTGAGCTTTCCAATAATGCTTATGTCTTCAAGTGCGCAACCATCTAGACACAACGTGCGAAGGTTTGTGAGGAGATTAATTGACACAGGTAGCGATGGAAAATGCATTCCAGTGAAATCTAAGACTTTGAGTCTTTCTGTTCGTCTAAAGAAGTTGGCTGGAATTTTCAATGAACCATTACGGGACATACAGAAGAAGGAAAGACCTGAGCACTCCATCTCATCAGGAAGCTCAGTTATAATACGAGAACCTACATTAATCGCCCAACAATTGTTCATTCTTTCCTTATCGGGCCACTCTTTTAGCACATCACCATATCTTAACACAAACATATGGTGGTCCCTTGATGCAATCGATATAGCAACAGCACATACAACATCATGGATATCAAACCATTCGTTGTTATAACTATCAAGCAACAAGCAAGACGCTTTGAGATTACTCACCACTGTCAATACTTTATATCTTGCTTCTTTTATTGTGTAGACGCCTTGAAAACATCCCAAACCAATAACATATTTCACCAAGTCCCGAATTAAAGCATCATGACCCATTAAACTACAAAGCAAGAAAGTCAACTTAACTTCCTCACTTTCTAAATAATTGTAGCTCAACTCTATAGCTGAATATACAGCCGGTGTTACCCCTGCGAAGTTTCCTGATGATGGCCTATTTAGTTCACGCAATGCATTCTTCCATTCAAATAAACTTTTGTTTCTCAAAGCCCTTGCAACTGTCGCAATGGCGATTGGCAATCTTGCACTTTTCTTTGCTACCTCAATAGCTGTAGGATGCAAATCGCAACTTTCAACACAGTCACCAGCCATCTTCTTAAACAGGGCCCAGGCTTCTTCTTCATTTAAAAGGCCAACTAAAAAATTTTTCTGAGTATCCATCCCACTTGATAGAACATTGAGATCTCTAGAAGTTAGCAATACCTTGCATCCCTCATGTTCATTTCCAAAAGGAATCCCAACTTCTTCAAGATCTAAACTTGCCCAAATATCATCCAAAATAACAAGGATCTTCTTCTCTTTGTTCAGTCTTTCTCGCAGTCGAAGTGCCCTTCCAACCATACTAGGTTCCTCAAATTTTAAACCCAATAAGTCTGCAATTTGGTTTTGAATTTTTTCAACATCAAGGGTCTGAGTTACGGTTGCTATAACTACGGAATCAAATAACTGGCCCTCCTTTACTTGTCTAGCAACTTCTTTGACTAGCGTGGTCTTGCCTACGCCACCCATCCCGTGCACCCCTATAACTTTGATGGTAGCATCATTCAATGCCTCCATGATTCCATTCAACACCAGCCTTCTTGACTCGAATGCTTCGAAACCTTTAACCGATGTGGGTGGTTCTGGAGCTGTACGATACGAAACCGGGTCAAATTTGCCCCGTCCGAGTAGCTCGGCAACAGCCTTCGTCTCCTCTTCAGCTTTCATGCTATGCTTGTAGCGAGTCCAGAAACTAGGACACAAGCCAAGGAAACATTTTTTCTTTGCTTCTTCTTCATCTTGAATTACTCTCTCTACTTCTTCATCAATCTTCTTGTTGACTGTAGTCAGCCACTTGTCGGCATCGTGTTCAATCTCTTCCCCGTTTCGTTTAGCGGCATCAATGGAATGCCGCACTCTTTCTCTGGCATCCTTCAGGCTCTCAACTTGATCCTTGAGACTCTGAACACTTTTCTCATGATTGGAAAGGAATTTGATCTGATTTTTTATGGGGGCGATCGTGTACTCTGCAGCTATCGTGACAATGGAGCTAGCGATGCCAATAACAAACTCCATTCTTTTCTTTTCTCTTTTCCCCAAGCTGAGCAAAACAAACAGAGAGGAAAACAGAATAAAAAAATTAAAGAGAAAAAAAAAAAAGAAACAGGGGAAAAAGTGGAAAGCTTTTTCCAGTGATGGATCTTTAACGATGGCAATGAAAACGAAGGACAGTCACTGAAAAGATTACTTACAAAACAATCAATGAACAAAGGAGCAGTGGAAGAGATCCAGTCCTGAAATTCAATTGACGACGAAGACTAAGGACTGAAACTTCAGGATTCTGAATTTGGGTGGCCAATGGAGAAATGCCAGAAACAGTGAAGAGAGTTATAATGCACAGAAAGTTTTTAATCAGACATTAGAATTAAGAGAAATTTGACAGCAAATAAAGTTGAAAGGTTCAAGTGTTTGGTGGTAATGGAAATGCCAAAGGCTGCAGAATGAAAATGGAAAGGGTAGGGAAACTTCTCCAATGACTTTTGGTATGATGATAAGTCAATTTGAAGATGATTATATAAAAAATTAAAAAAAATTGATCAAATTTTAAAAATTTTAAACAAGTTTTAATAGCATAATAGATAGTTTATTTAGATAGGTATTTTCATTAAAATTTACAACAGATTTTTGTCTTTTTGTAATTGAGGACAACAGAATTTTCACCAATCAAATGTTAAAGATAGATTCTTTTCCATGTATAAAAATATATAATCTTGATTGCAGTAATTAAGTGTATAGAGAGAGAGAAAAAAATGCTAAAGAGATCGTGGAACAGTACTTCAACAGTTTTTCTTTTTTTTTTTCTTTTGTCTTCTTTCTTCTTTCTCTAAATTTTAGATTTTTCAGAAAATAAAGAAAATAAAGAAAAAGAAAAGGAGAAAATATTAAATATGTATTAGATTTTTAATTAAAAGTAATTGTTTTGATGAAAAAAGAAGGAAATTTTTATTTTGGTTGTTAAAAACAAAAAAAAAAAAAATTTGACTTTTATAATTTTGTTGGTCTAATTTATAATTACTAACATTTAGTATATGTTTATATTATTGAAACATATACTTACGTTTACTACTATAATTTTATTAAATGGTAAAATTTTTTATAAAAATTTAAAAATATGTTGAATATTTATTATTAAAAAAATAAGTTTCCAAGATCTTCCAAACGAAATTCATGAAAAAAAAAAGAATTAAAAAATTGTTTAAGAAATTTTAGAGATTATACTCCGCAATCCCAATAAATTAAAATTTATTAACTCCAAAACTTTCCACTTATTTTCATGTACTTTGTGTGAACAAATTTGCGGGGTACACTATAAAACAATCTCTGCACATCCCGGATCTTTTCTTCACTGGTAGGAAAAAATTTATGCATCATCCATCACTTCAAAAAATTACTTTCAAATGAAGTAGTGGCCGCCACGACAACTAGCACAACTTCCTAGAAGAATAAGTGCTAATATATATATATATATATACACAACGGGAAAAGCAAAATAGATATTCAGAAAGGTACATTGTTTAAAAGTTAAAATTCAAGTGAATGACCTATTATTTTAATGATAAAGAAGAGGTTTTGAAATCTTTAAGTTTTATATTTAAGTCCCATCAATACGAATAAATCTAGTTCAATTTTATGTTATTATGTTTTTCTTGAAGATTCTATTTGATAGATATTAAAAATTAATATACGATTTTGTTAAAAAATAAAATTCAATTGAAAAGAGTCTTGAGATGACGCAGTCAAAAGTATAAGATAGCCTCTCTGTGTGGCCGACATTGATAGCCTAACTAAAAGGATAGAAAAAAAAAAAAGAAGTAGGTACGTGCTTTTGAAAAAGAAGGTTTATTGTATGACTTGATAATGTGAAATAATTTTGTAAGGCCTTTTTCAAAAGTGAGCGACGACCCAATCAACTTGTTACCTACTCCACCAGACTTTCGTCTCGGAAGCTAACTTGAAACACGATGGAATAATTAATTCAATGGTTCTAATCAATTCATCCACGTAATCAGAAATTAATAAAAAAAATGATCAAATCCTCTTTTAAGATTTAACCATGTACCAAAAAACCAATTCAAGACATACTAGATTTTTAAATATTGAATTTTGCTTTTGTTGAAGACTTTACATGGGTCTAAAAAAAATCCTATTTACATTAGATTTTCTTTGTCAAAGTTTTTTTTTTTTAAATATTTATGTAAGATATAAAATTGATCATAATTTTTTATTTTTTACAATAATTATAATTTTTTAAAAAAAGTTACCATTTACTTTAAAAATTTATAATTATGAGTGACAAATTTTTTTCTTTTTAAATGGGACATTAATTTGTACCAATTGAAAAAAATGCAAAAACAATGCCAATATATATATATATATTTGCTTAACTTGTTCAAAAGAACATATTATTTATGATTATTTTATTATAATCAATTAATTAATTATAATTTAAATTTACATAATATTTCTGTATGAAACATATTTTATATTATTTTTTATTAGGATTGGATGATTATACGATAATAATAAAAAATTATAGGTTAGAAGATTGGGATAAAAATATAAAATTAAAACAATAAATTTTCTTAAAAAATGAGATTTGCATAAGAAAACATACCTACTCCTAATTTTAATTGAGATTGGTTTTTCGATTATATACAAAAAGTAATATTTTCTTACCCCATTTTTTATATTATTTTTCTTTTTGTTTTTAAACTTTTCGTCATCTTCAATCTATGAGGAAACACCAATCCTTTATGGCCTACATTTACGGCCTAGATCTAGTTAGCGGAATAGATTTTATCACGTTTAAGATTAAATTGCCCTCTTTCTCTTTTTACTTTTTTTTTTTCCTTCACATCTTAAAAAAAAAGAGTACATGAAAGTTACGTAACATGAGTATAAATTTTTTTTTCATTTAAATCATGCAAGTAATCATATTACTATAAAATAATTATTTATTTATTAAAATTAAAATTTATTATTAATTATGTATAATAAATAATTAATTTTTTTCACTAATCTAATTATATAATATGATTTAAATGAAAATATATATATGATGTCATGAAATAATTATTTTGTGCAATCAGTTTTCTCATGTCTTTACACTGCTGTCGCTTGTTCAAATGTCTCCAACTCGCCTCTTCTATGTTCAGTCCCATCATCTTTGTCTTTTATGCTCATCTTATCTCTCTTCCATTTCTTATTTTTAGTTTTGGGATTTTCTAAAATGCAACCCCAATTCTTTTTTTCATACCTTTTTTTTTTTATAAATTATATAATTTATTAATATATAAAAAATACATATCCAAAAAATTTTATAATTTATAAAAAATGTATATTCCAAATTTTTAAAAAATTATATTTAAGTTAAAAAAATGATTGAGAAAATATCTTATAAAAAATTTTAAGTTTTTCGGATATAAAAATTCAAAAACTTTTAAAAAATATTAAATAAAAAATAATTAAATAATTTTATTTTAAAATATTTAAAAAAAATATATGAAGAATAAATGATATAGAGTGAATAAAATTTTCCTTATTGGCGAAATGCCAGAAACAGTAAACAGAGTTATAATGCACAAAAAGGTTTTAATCAGATGTTGGAATTCAAATAAATTTGACAGTAAAAAAATTCAAATCCATTGACTGTACTTTGGATCAATTAATATATTATTAGAGTTAGATATTTAAAAATTACAAATTTAAAAAATTTTATGCTCATAATATCTTCTTTAGTAAAATAAATTGTAAGGTAAAAAATTTAAAGGTAAATTAAAAATTTTAATATATATATATATATATATATATATATATATATATAAAGCCCACATTATTTGCCTCACCAACTAAGCACCAACATCCTTAAATTGCAGTAAAGGGAATTACCAAAGCAATTTGAAGGGAACTGCTCTACTATAATTGTATTGATTGATGTATTGATATTATTACTCCAATATTTTCTCCCTACGATGGGTCATTGTGTGTTTGTGTGGCTGTTTTTCTTTTTTAACAGCATCTATAACAGTTATACTAAAGATTTAACATTAAAAATTTAGCTTTCTATTTTTATTTGATTTAATTAGAGATTATACAAGTCTTGAGTTTGGTTCCAATTTCGTTTTGGGTTTAAGGTAGACTACACACATAAGGAATTTATTGTTTCATTATACATTTTTAGTAATTAAAAATTTTCGAGGGGAGATTAGAAAATTTTTTTTCATGTATAAAAATACAAAAACATGGTAGGGTTATTAAGTGTGTAGAGAGGGAGAAAAAAATGCTAGACAGATAGTGAAACACTAATTCAACGAATTTTCTTCTTTCACTTGTTTTTTTCCTTTTTCTTTGTCTTCTTTCTTCTTTCCTCCAATTTTTTAGAAAAGAAAATAAAGAAAGAGAGAGAGAAAAAAGATTAAATATGTATTAGATTTTTTAATTAAAATGTTATTGTTTTAATAAAACGAAAGGAAATTTTAATTTTTGTTGAAAGAAACAAAAAATTTCATTGGACTTTTATAATTACTAACAAATATATATATATATATATATGTTTGTATTGAAACATATGATTAAATATGCTATTATCATTTTATTAAATGGTAAATTTTTGTTTTATGAAAAAAAATTAATAATATGTTGAGAGTTATAATGCACTAAAAGTTTTTAATCAAACGTTGGAATTAAGCTAAATTTGACAGCAAACAAAGTTGACAAGTTTAAAGTGTTTTGTGATAATGGAAATGCCAAAATTTGTAAAATGAAATGGAAAGAACAGGGAAAAGTTCCCCAATGACTTTTGATATGATGATAAGTCAAGTCAACATGCTTCAATATTATCCAAAAATTGAAGTGGAAGAGTAGTGTTATTTGCACCTTAATTTCTTTCTTCACACTTTATTATCATTAATTAATACTTAATTTTTTACTTAATACACTTCAAATCTAAAACATAAATTTATCAAAAAATCAAAAATCGTATTTTTTTTCTTCTCAACCAAAACAAAAAAGATTTTAAGCTTTAATTAAGCTAAATTCAAAAAAATATTTCATTCATTTGAAGTTAAAAAATATAAAATTAAAAGTAAATCGTTTTTTTTTAATTTAATTTTATATTTAATTTGATAAAATTTCATGTTAATTTTTTTTTGTGTAATTTGAAATTTACAAAAATAGATTTTTAAAAATTCTTAAAAATTTTTTAAAATAAATATCAGAAAATTTTTAAAAACTTTCAAAAACAAATGTATGAAAGTTTTTAAGAATTTTTGGTCTAGACATCTTTTTTTAAAAATATTTAAAAGTTTCAAAAAATAAACCTTTGAATTAAGATGTGAAAAATAATAAAAAAATTAATTAATAAATATTTAAATAATTTTATTAAAAATTAAAATTTTAAAGTGTATTGGGAAAATATGAGATGCAAGTAGCAACACTCAAACTGGAAACTGAACCTCTTGATTTTTTTTGACCAAATCATCCAGCATTAATTATTATGTGAACTTAGAATCTTTATTTATTTTTATTTTTACTAGTTCTGTTCAAAAGAGCATATTATTTATTTATGATTATTGTATTATAATCAATTAATTAATTGTAATTTAAAATTACATAATATTCAATATAAAACATATTTTATATAATTTTTTATTAGAATTGGGTGATTATAGTATAATAATAAAAAATTTATAAGTTAGAAGATTTGGATAAAAATATAAAACTAAAAAATAAATTTTCTTAAAAATATGAGATTTGTTTAAAAAATAAACCTAACCCTAATTTTAATCAAGATTGATTTTTCGATTATATATACAGAAAAATATATTTTTCTTATCTCATTTTCTGTATATATTTTTTTTCTCGTTTCATTTCACTTCTCTTCATCTCCAGTCGACGAGGAGAGACCGACCCACTTCAGTCTAGATGGAGTTAGCTGAGTAGACCTAAATCACCTCTCTTTTTACTCTCTTTTTCTTTTTTCTTTCAAATCTAAAAAAAAAAAATTTTGTATAAAAAGTTGCATCATATTAATATATATCTTTTTATTTAAATCATATCACATAATCATATTATTAAAAAATAATTAATTAATATTATTAATTAATTATATTAAAATCAATATTTATTATTTAATTATGTGTAATAAATTATTCACTTTTTTTAATTATATGACATAATTTAAATAAAATATATATATTAACATGATATAATTATTTGGCACAATTATTTTTCATCTTTACATTTAGCCCCACCTTGTCTTTCCCTTTTATCTCCCTTCTGTTTTTCATTTGTAGTTTTTCTCTCGTTTCTCTACTTCTTAGTTTTGTTTTTTTCTCTCTCCACGTTTTCTTTTGCTGATATTTCTCAATGTCTGTCCTTACATTTAAAGCTTATTTATAATTTCAAAATTACCTTCTATAAGTTTTTACATCCATTTATATCCAAAACAGGTGAAATAAAAAAAATATCAAATTCGTTAATTGTCATTTAGATCAATTAACATATTATTAGAGTTTACATTTAAAAAATATAAATTTAAAAGAATTTATATGTATAATATTTTTTTGTGAAATAAATAATAAAATAAAAGAGATTTAAAGATAAATTATATATATATATTTATATCAAACCCACATTATTTGCCCCAACTACCAAGTAGCAACATCCTTAAATTGCCGTAAAGGGAATTACCAAAAAAAAAAAAAGATGAAGCGAACTGCTTTAATATAATTGTATTGATTGATGTATTGATATTATTACTCCAATATTTTCTCTACACGATGGGTCTTTGTGTGGCTGTTTTTTATTTTTTTAACAGTTATATTAAAGATTTAACATTAAGAATTTAGCTCTCTATTTTTATTTGATTTAATTAGAGATTATAAAAGTCTTGAGTTTGGTTCCAATTTTGTTTTGGGTTTAGGGTAGACTACACACATAAGTAATTTATTGTTTTATTATACATTTTTAGTAATTAAACTTTTTGGAGGTGAGATTGGAAAATTTCTTTTCATGTATAAAAATACAAAAATGTGGTAGGGTTATTAAGTGTATAGAGAGAGAGAAAAAAGAAATGCTAAACAGATAGTGAAACACTAATTCAACAAATTTTCTTCTTTCACTTTTTTTCCTTTTTCTTTGTCTTCTTTCTTCTTTCCTCCCATTTTTTAGAAAAGAAAATAAAGAAAGAAAAAGAGAAAAGATTAAATATGTATTAGAATTTTTAATTAAAATGTTATTATTTTAATAAAACGAAAGGAAATTTTAATTTTTGTTGTAAGAAACAAAAAATTTTATTGGACTTTTATAATTACTAACATATATATATATACATTTATGTTTGTATTGAAACATATATATGAAGTTTTTTTTATTATATTTATATGTTCAAGATGCCTCAAAGTTAACTGATGCAGGATTTTCTTTCATCACCATAACACCATCCAGGGAACCACAGAAATCATTTGAACCATTGTAGAAATGTTCCAAGGCTTTTATTTGTTTTCTTCCTTTGTTCTGATAAGCAAGAAAATTTGTAAAGGGATCATAAACTCTTATCAACCCAAATTGAACTCCCAATCATCCCCCAACCTCTCCTCCCTCCTCCCTCTCATCTTTCCAATCCTTTCTCTACCTTCACCTCCTCTCTTTCTCCACATTACTTGAAAAACCAAGTGGAATTGTCAAAAAAAAAAGAGACCTTTTGTCTTAAATTTAAATCTCTATTCAACTCAGCTACAACAAAATAGTTATCCAAATTAGTCATCCAATATACGCGGCATGTATTTGGTCTAAAACATGGCACAATGTATGGAGAACACAATTTTATGAAAGAAAAAGCAAACAAAAAAAGGCAAAAACAATATCACGAAGAGCAACCTCATGTCAATGATAAAAACCAACAATATGATTTAATGATGGATTACTTACTATAAGTAATATACCAAGAAATAAAATAGAAAAAAACAAATATATGTTCCTAATGTGGCTCCACTTACTACATTAAGGACCTCTTATTTAAAATGGTAAGAATACAAGGGTTATAACCAATCGACAGCTGATGACATGAACAGTTTATAGTTCCTAAAGCAAGATGACAGACAGAGAGATGGAGAGGAGAGGAAGAAGTTTATCAAATGTGCAAGCCGTGAACATACAAAGCATTAACAGCTAACTTGGACTACCAGAAAGCATCCGTGTTTCAAACAATGAAATTAAAATGCAAGATTCAACAACAATAAGGGCACTGGGGGTTTATATTTTATATCTCTAAGTGAGATCTAGAAAAAAAAAAAGGTGAAAAAGTTACAGATGTGCAATGTACAAGGATACATAGAGTTCACAGCTGATCTTAGATAACATAAACATCCGTCTCAAACAATCAAAATGCAATACAGTATTCGATAACAAAAGCTAGTTAATGTCTAGGTTATGTAAAGTAAAAACCAAGCTAATATTTGTTCTAGAAAACAACCTAAGCATTCTTAAGAGATCAACGAAATCTTAACCCCTCATTAATGAATTCTAACTGCTCATAGAACAATATTCTTTAAGATATGCTGATTAATTATATATGTTTAGTCTACATATTATGCGTTTAATCAAAAAAGTAAGTCCACTGAAAATGATTTTTCTTTCAATTTCAAGACCCTATCACATTTAATGCCACTATATGATAACTGCAATTGTTTTGATGAATTTCACATAATGTAAAAATAGATAACTGCAATTGTTTTGATGAATTTCACATAATGTAAAAATAGAACGTGGAAACATATGATCACCAAAAAAAAAAAAAGTTACTAGTAGAAACATATTGTCCTATAGGACTTTGAACCCCTCTAAGATAGATGGGATGTCAATAATTCCTATTTAATTATGACAAAGCATGTGTAAATTAATATTTGGGGAAATGTAATGTTGGGGGTTGTCTCCGGTAAATAATTATCAAAAAGAAAAGGTGATAGAAAAGAAACTTGAATGGTCTACCATCATCCATTCAAGTCAGAAGGCATAAACAAAGTAGATGACATAAAAATATTAAACCAAGTATATTGTGGCTCAAGATAACGAATAATACTCTGGAGAAAACATTCAATTTACCATAGATGTCCTCTCAGTTTCTGGAACCAGTTTACTTGCATGTACCTAATTATTGTTCACCTCAAAGCTTTCTTTTTTTTTCTAGTACATCCTCAAAGCTATTTTGAAACCCAAATAATCATTTGTAAGGACTTTATTGCAAGATGATAATACCTGTACTTCTTGAAAATAAGTAATTTGCCATTTGCCCGAAAAATAAAAAGTAAGTTGTAAAGCAATGACTATTCTGATTGCATTAAACGGCTAGTGAAGGGGAAGTATACTTAATCTTTATGAACTTTCTCTCAATGTTTCTGTCTTCCAATATTACTTCCCCTTGATACATATGCATTGTGTAATGAAGATAAATGTAGCAAGCTATCCTAGTTATGAATGAGCTTGAGAAACTTCACCTTTCTCACCAAGTTGGGGGGTCACTTCTTCAGAAATTTTGGCAGATGCTTCCATCTTCAATCTCTGCATGTCTAGTTCAGGGATAATTGGAGGCTTTATTCTTCGTGTAACTGTCATCTTCAGCCCCTCCGTTGTGTGGATAGTTGCTCCAGTAGTCATCTCAACCTGCATATGGATTAGATTATTTTTTATTAGGTATACCTACTTTCCTTTTTCAATTACTATGATTTTATGAGACATCATACCTATTATCAACTTATGTAAAAGCATGCTCAAATAATTAGGGCACTCTCAATGGAAAATCAATCACATCTTGGCTAGGTAATGGTATTTCAACTTCAAAAATTGCTGAGAATTTTTTTCTATTTACGTCCAACACATAGCTTTTGCATAGGCTATTATATATCAATTGTTTCAAGATGCCAGTAGTCAACCATTCTTTTTATATTCAGCCAATATTGATGATATCAAAATGTGAACTTTATGAAAATGTTTCAAGATTTTCAGATTCTATGTCCAATTTCATAAAAATATAAAAAATTCATCATCATAATAAATGTGCATGAACTTAAAGGCAATCAATACTATTGATGAGGTCATTCAACAATATTAACGCAGGAGCAACAGAGTCTAGGGGTGTAAACAAACAGAGCTTTTGACAAACAATTCATGGACATGTTCGGTTTCTATTTGTTTATTAAACTTAACAAACAATCTTGAACAGCATTTTTTACGTTCTTTTATTAAACAAACAGAATACGAACATAAGTCTATTTGATTCATTTAAAACTTGTTTATTTAGGGTTCATTTATATTCATTTATTGTTCAGTAATAATAACAACAGAATTACATTTTTGTCCTTTATCCTAATCCTATTTTAGAGTTCGTTTATGTTCATTTAAGGTTCATTTATATTCATTTAGGTCTGTTTGTTTAATTTTTTTTGGTTATGATTTGTTCATTGTTTATAAACATGTTTATTTATATATATTCCTGAACATGTTCGTTTAATGTGAACAAATTAGTTTGTTTAACTTAATCGAGCTGAACACGAATTTCCTACCATTTAAACAAATTGAGCTCAAATGAACAAAGTAATTTCCTCACCGGACATGAACTGAGCCCGAATAGCTCTAAAAATAAATAAATAAGCCACAGATATATGTTCATTCGGTCGTTCTTGGTTCACTTACGCCCCTAATAGAGTCAACATTTAAAGTTCACCGGCACAGAAAAAAAAGGGATTCTACCAGAAAGACATTAATTTATACACCAAAGTAGCATTTCATTTATGAAAGGGCATTTTAGGAGGTTTATCTTAATCTTAGCATAAAAATAAGTTTCTTCTTTAAGGAGGGAAGCTAGCTGTTTTGGAAATGCTAAGTTTGAGAGCCAACTACAGTCCCTGTCATTTGACTATTGCTACTTGTTTCTGTTGGTAGTTTAGCAAAAGTATCATCTGTACCTCCAGCATGTTTCTTTCTTGCTCCATTTTATATTTAAACATAAAAGTTGTTGCAATGAACAAAATGCACAAGGTAATTTACTTACTGGAGGAGCTCCAAGCGCCATTTGAAAGTTAAATCGTTGAACAAGCATTGCAACTGCTACAACAGTCTGTAGATCAAAATAATTCTACTTCAGGTTCTATAACACCAATCACTGGCAGCTGATGCGGCAGAATTTGTCAACCCAGATATTTCAAGGAGAACAAATAAATATGGAACCCAACACACAAAATTAGGAACTAACAAGTTTTGGTACTGACTGAAAATTTTTCATACATATATTTTGATAAAAATACCTCAAAAGATGCAAACATGTCTCCTACACATTTCCGAGGTCCTCCACCAAAGGGCAAGTAACTGAGTGAGACGAGCACTAGTATCAGTAAGTAATTGAAGTAAAAATACAACAGTAACTGAAACAAAGAGCAACTGATTGAGACAACATATTAAACAAAAAAATTCATTGCCATCTCATTTTAATAACATAATTGATGCAATAAGCAAAGTGGTAGTTATTTGTTACCAGAAATTTTGGTTTGTTTCATTGGGGTTTGGTCCATCTAACGGCCATCTTTCAGGATTGAACTTCTCTGCATCTTGCCAGAGACTTGGACTATGATGCAGATTCCAAACAGAGATAAAAATATCTTCACCCCTAAATGTAAAATATATGATAAAGTTAAGAATTCAGAAAAGTTATGCGAGGTAAAGTCAACATACCATAGCACTTGCATGTAAAACTTGCGATAAAGCAACAATATACACATAAAAGATATCCATAAAAGCAAAAAACAGTTACCATAGAGTACCCCATCCCCACATGCTTTCCAGAGAAAGAACATAGAGACAAATATTTGTCACAGATGAAGCAAAGGAAAGTGCCAGCCCAGAATCAGAGCTTCCAGAATCAAATTATAAACTTCTAAAAATGATCAGAAGATGTTTTACTATTTCAATATCATTTTGATAATCTTGCAACAAAATTAGACACATAGGATAACATATTTATCCATATGTCCAATTTTGTATAGCTGATCTGGTTATAATCAGGTAATAAATTTTTCTAAAATCCATTTAATCTATGCTGACAAGTTTTATCTTTTTGTTTTGACCAACCAAACCACCATGTTTTCTCCTACTAGTAATACATTTAAAGGAAAAAAATAGGCCAAGAAAGTGATTTTTGGAAGATGATTTTGAAAGGTGTTTGCTAACTGACCAATTAGACGACAATGATAGTGATTTTAACGGTTTGACCTTTTTATGGGGTACTTTCCAAGCACATCATCCTCAAGAGAACGACGAATTAAGACTGGTGGCTGTGGGTAGAGCCTCAAAGACTGCACCAAGGTTAGACAGAATCATTTCTATATGAAATGCATTAGTGCAAAATATTTGATGAAACATGAAATGGAATAGAACTATCTCTTACTTCATTAATAACCCGAGTTGTATACTTGAGTTTCTTCATGTCATTTATTGTTGGAAATCGATCTCCTAGAACAGAGTCAACCTAGGAAGTTTGATGCAATAATAAATAAGAAAATGAGACTGTGAGATGGGTTGTATAGAATTGAAAGCTTAGACTTAGACTAGCCTTTTCTATACCAGTATTGCACAAAAAATTTAAAGATACCTCGTCCTGGAGCTTGGATACAACACTAGGTTCCTGCAAACATCAGAGAAAAGAACTAATGAAAACTTGAAACAACCATCAATTATCCACACTCCAGAAGCAATCCTGCAGGCATAACTCAAAACCCTACTATTTATTGCTAAACCAAGCAATCTTGAAATAGGATGGATTAATATCTAAAATGGGGCCCTCTGTACTGTATATCTTCTGTCAGTTTGGTACCTAAAGAAATAAAATTCTCACTTTGGTACTCTAACTTTCATTTCATCAAGCACTTTGGTACTTCGCATTGTTATCGTCAGTTAAGTGGCTGACATGATATGAATAACTAATAAATTCATATCACTATGTGATAAATGTTCAATCATCACCACATTAGTAAAAAATAAATTTCTCTCTCCCCAATTCTTTCTCTTTCTCTTTTTTTATTTTTTTTCTTTTTAAATTTTGAATTTTTTATTTAAATGCTGATGTGGAAAATAAATGATGTGCCGATGATTGGACTTTTATGCCATGTGTCATGATTTTATTGGGTATTAATGCCACTTAACCAAATTGACTAATGGTATTAGACGGGAGTACCAAAGTGCTTGATAGAATGAAAGTTTGGGTACCAAAGTGAAAATTTTATTTCTTTAGGTACCAAACTAATAAAAAGGATAAAGTACATGGGCTATTTTTGTATTTAAACCAAATAGGAGGTATGGTGTATTATTTATTCAAGCTTTACAATCAATCACAAGTAGAAGGGATACTATAACATCAACCTAAACAAAACCCTAGGCATAGGAAGTTAAGCTTAATTCACAATTAGTGCTTATATGCATTAATATCAAGGAGAAAAGCATGAAAAACAAACATGATTATCAGATAGAACATTTTCATGCTTTTCCTGCATATTATAACATCAACCTAAACAAAACCCTAGGCATAGGAAGTTAAGATTAATTCACAATTAGTGCTTATATGCATTAATATCAAGGAGAAAAGCATGAGAAAATAAACATGATTATCAGATAGAACATTTTCATGCTTTTCCTGCCTATTGGAGTATGTCTTGAATTTAATTTCTTTTTTGGCCAAATGACAAAATGGCATCTGACCTTTCACAAGGGAAGCAGGAACAACCCATTTATTTTGTTCTTATTACTCTAATGAACTTAAAAAACTTAAGAGTGCTTTGATATGATTCGTTTATTGGAAAAAGGGTTCTGTTCAGTTAATATTGATTAGTAGATCAAACGACGTAATAAGTTTTTCTATTCTTGCTGCATTAATTCTTCGCCAAAGAAATCTACATTTTACACAAATATATTTTTATAAAGTTGCTAAAGGAAGTATTTAACGATAAAAGTAAAGAAATTAGTATCAGCAGTTTTTTATATCGCAGACCATAAACAAGAAGAATTAAAACATCACAAGAGAGGGAATTTGCTCCTTTTTCTTGAAGAACTAATCTTTGAATTACCTTTGATAAAAGATAGAAGGTCCATGTCAAAACAGCAGCTGATGTTTCATGCCCAGCAATAAGCATTGTCATTAAATCATCACGGAGTTGCTTACTAGAAACCTGCAAAGATTCAAGGAAATCTTAGATCTCATGAAATGCTAATTCACATGTTTGATAACCATTAATACACACATCATCTCCTGAAGCCAGCAGGAAGCGGAGAATACTAGGATCTTGTTCATTCATGTACTCATCATGAAACTGTAGCTCTTCTTCTTCTACCATCCTCTGAAAATTGCAGATTTTAAATTTAAAAGAGAATAAAAGAAAATGATTAATCAAGTCAAGGAAAAGATTAATAGCAATGAGATACAGATACCATAATGGAAAACATACAGAAACCAAACAATTAGACTAAACCGCAAATGAAAATTTTAAGCTTACACGGACGTATTAGAAAGGAGAAGAGTACCAGATTAAGAAAATTTCCAGATCCCAGTATACATATGTCAACTGAGAATGAGTTCCACATAAATTTGTAGCAAATTTCACTTAGTTTAAACAATAAATGCTAAAGGCAGCGTATTCATAGAACAAATAATAAATCACAAATTCTCTCAAATTCAAAGACTATGATGCTGGTATTGTCCTACTGAAAAAGGGATCAAGGAAAAGAAAACTGGGACCTATTTAGTAATAGTCATCAGCCTTAGGCTTCTATTGATTTGGCTTCATGCTTGCTACTCCTGCATAAAACCAACCAACCAGGCTACTAAATTTATATAAATGGACTTGTTTAATATCAACATACGACCTTTGCATCTCCAAAAAAATAACAAGAATGACACATTTAGAGACGTTTTCAGGTCTGACATTTCCTATCTATACGTGAAGGGTGTCCTCATGCTTGGTATAAAAGCAAAAAGTTATGCATGCACCATATGTGGTGTTTGATACATCACACTACATGTTCACACATGCACAGATATCATTGGATTTACAGTGATTATAGAGGGCATAAAGGTAGAGAGCAAAATATTATCTCACTACATTTACTGATAACTTTACCTTGCATATTGCAATCAGATCATCTAGTACATCATTAATCAATTTGAGCGCTTCTGCAACCTTCCTTTGTCTTGGTGAAATGTCTTTCCAAATAGGGATCTCCCAGGTTGGAATTGGGGAGACACTTCGATCTTCTGCTTCCCGCAAAACAGTGTAAACAGCCTGTCCTTGCCATAATTCAGACAAATATTTTAGAAGGTTTTAGCAAAAATGTAAATGAAACTCAGTGGCAACAGCATAGCAAAAGTGCCAGGCAAAATATAGATAAGAAAAGAAAATACCTCAACTATGCCTGTATCATTTCTTAATGAATCAAAGTCGTAATTAAATAATGCCTTGCCAATAATGTCCAATGTCAAATGAGAGAAAAGTAATTCCATTTCTACATCTTCCTGATCAGTTGCAGCATCATCTAGCTTCTGGCAAAGCCTATCGGTAGCTTGTGCAAATAGGCTAACCATAGCAGCTACATACTAAAAATCGAAAAATAAAAAGTAATACAGCAATAATTGATTCAGTTAAAATAATATTTCTAAAAGTGCAGCTCCATCTTATGATTTGGACGGTGTTTTGATCATGCTTAACAAATATTATATTCATTTATCACTCCTTTTTGGACGACATTTTGTTGTTGTAGTTCAGGTCCACTACTTTAAATCATTTATATGATTATCTGAAAACCCCTTAGTTCTGCCCACTCTTATTTGGAGTACATTTATCCCTCTTAAGTTATTTATATGATTATCCCTTTATCTTCCTTTTTAAGCAAGTCAGCATGCTCATATTCTTTTTTTTTGTTTTCCTTTTTAATCTATGAATTATGCCTCTAACTTCTAAGGACTCTGAAATTTCCATACATAGTTCTAGAACATACTACAAGGCACTAACATGCTTAGAAGAGAAATGGCATAGCAAAGAATTTCTCATTTTACATTAATTAGATCTAATTGAATCAAAAGTCATAATAGTGTTGTCTCAGATAACATACAATTTAATAACTACATCACCTTTTGATGCAGTGCTGGGACTATAGCACGTCTTCTAATGCGCCATATCTCACCATCAGCTGGGATGAGTCCCTTCCCCATGACAAATTCCAAAATCTCTGCTAATAAACCCTTCAGATTAAAGAGAATAAAAGATGAGACAAAAAATAAAGCTATATTAGCCCATTCAACACACAGGAAGACTAAAAGTCCAATGTGATTTACCTTTGAATAAGACTTCGAGTTGTCCCTCAATATATGCTTTGCAATAGAAGGATCAGAAACAATCAAAAATGACTGCAGCAATATCCCCAAATGATCATCAGGAAATCCATGACTATCTCATACTATATATTAGACACAAATTTAAGCAAAAAAGAAAAGGAAACACAAACCTTTGGTCCAAAGGTTAGCCTGAAAATTCCACCATGAGTGAGATAAAGCTCGTACAGGGGGAGGAAGAAGGCCTCACTCCTGATGGCCTTAATTCCCCCTTTCGCCTTTGGAATCTTAGGATAATCTTCAACGTCATCAACCCATTTAAATAAGATTTCCAGAATCTCACCAGGAACACCTAGTTTCGACAAACCATTCCTCAATAGAGAAGGAAAACTTGTTCCCAGAAACAAAAAGACATAAGAACAAGCAAATTAATTGGAATTTTGAAATAAAAGAATACAAAATCAGAAACAAAAAATTGACTAAAAAGAATCTATGGCATTTAGCCAATACACATGACGTGGAAGACAACAAAAGGATTTAAGCATACCAAGTCCAAGATGATTCTCACCAAAATTAATTGAAAAATTAAGAATGATCCCTTTTTCTTTTATGAGAAATAAAAGATACCCAAAAGATTATTAAGCATCATAATCACAATTAAAGGGTTAAAAAACAAAAAAACAAAGGAAAAATGAAAGAAAACTAAAAAAACAATTACCCAGATTTCTGAACAGTGAATTCTCCAGAAGCAATCCTAGCAGGCGACTCAGCCCGGCGTTTCTCTTCAAGTAAACGCTCCACGCTTTTAACACCATTGTCAACTGAACCAGGCTCTCTCCCATTAGAAGATGACCCACACTTTACTATTCCAAACTTGGATGTCCCTGAAAAATCTCATAAAAGAAGCAAAACGAAGCTTAAAAAATACAATACAAAACCCAGAAAAAGAAAACTGTAAAGTTTAAACATACCATAAGATTTTAAATGAAAAGCAGTGGATTTGAGTTTGGTTGAATGAAGTTGAACAAGAGGAAAAGCTGAAGCGGCCGCCATAATTCATTAGGCTGCCAATGTAATAGGTTGTATTTTTGTCTTTCAGACAAAGCTCACTATCGATATTTAATGGAAAAAAATGAAGGGAAGATAATAATTGAAGTGAAATGTGGATGGGCCTCCCAACTCTCAAACTCTTTCCCATGTCATAACCGCTAAAAAACAGAAGCAGGGATTGGGAAATCTGTACGACTTTAGATACCGTTTCATCGAATCACAGCTTTCCAAAGACATCAACCGTATATATAGTTATTCCCTCTTGTCTGCTTGTTTTTTCTTTCCTTAGATTTAAATTTTAAGGATATTCTTGATTTGTTAAAAAAAAAATCCATCCTCTTCTCTTAATTACCAATATTATCGATAATTATATGATTGTAATATAATATTAAAAGTGAGATGCTTTTAAAATTTTAATAAAAAATTTATGAAAGATAAAATTGTAAAAAAATTTTAATTATATATTTTTTAAAAACATAAAATGCAAAAATTAAACAAATGATTCGCCTTATGAAATCCATTGAAAGGCAAAAACGGTAAATGTTATATTAAATATTTATTCATATATATATATATATATATTCATAAATGTTTAGTTTGAACTTTAAATGTTATGTTAAATGTTGATTTAAATATTAGTGTTGTTTAATAAAACTAAATAAATTTAATATTAAAAAATAAAAAATAAAAATATAATTTTTAGTTTTAAAAAATTTAAGTACTGAATTAATGATATAAAAATTATTTGGCATCTACTGAAAAATAAATATTAAGTAAAATTTTTATTAATCTTTTATAAAAAAAATTTAAATATAATTTTATAATTATTTTCAATTGATCAAAGTTAAAAAGAAAATAATAAACTGTTAAAAGACAAAGAATAATTATTTCATGAAAACTTTAATTTTTTATTATTTATCATATATTTTGAATTTTATCAAAATTTTATTAGAAATTTTAATTTGCTTATGAATTGATATATTTAATGTATACATTTTATATATACCTTAAACATGTTAAGATTAAATAATATTAATTTATATATCTAAATATATATTTAAATAGATACATTTAATCCTGCATCACATTTACCGTAACCTAGTTTAACTTATAAAATTAAGTATGCTTTTTAAATGGGTTAATTAAAAAAATCGTCAATTAAGGTAGAAACAAGCTCAAGAAGAAAATGTTGACAATATAAACTGGAAATTAATCTATTATTTGTTGGGGACAAGAATTCGAATTGAACTTGAATTTTATTTTTTTACATATTTATTAATTAATTTAATAAATTTAAGACAAAAATATGATAAAATTATTAAAGCTAAAATTTTAAAAGAGTTAATTATATTTTTGGCACATTAATTTTGAAAAAATTGTACAAATTAATATATAAAAAATAATAATAACACAATCTATACCTTAAACTTTC